ATGTTCACTTGCTGCCTGATATATCCCACCTACTGACAAGAGCCTTGATAACCAGATACTCAGTGTTATTCACTTCACCAGTCAGTGCTATCAATGTTATTGCTGATCGGTGTACCCCCTCCGTGGGAGGTTTTCCAGGCACGTCTAAGTGGTGGGAGCTCCTGAGGCAGACCCAGGAAATGCTGGTGAGATCATATAGCTCATCTGATAGAGGAACATTTCCCATGAAGGAGCTTGTTGCTTGGTAGAGGGACGTCTAAACTTTTTTGCTAATCACCACAACCAGGCCCCAGACCAAGCAGCAGAACACAAATGGATGGAGATACATATCCATAACACATTCTAGGGTAATCTTGCCCTTGCTTTTGAGATATCTTGTCATGGACAAGGTGATCTGGCCAGTAGTTATTCAAACATCTTGCTCTGTGCGGAGTTGGGCCGCCATATGGTGAAAAAATCCATGACGTTTTCTCTTACTCCCACTTCCACAGAGATAGAAATCTGGCTGAGTTGGTAAAGATGTTATGCTGTTTGCAGTTTACCAACCTCACATGTTGGACTACAGCCACAATTCATACTTTACAGTCACGTGATTACCATGGTTACCTGGCAGGCAAGAAACATATATATTTACATATATCCGTCACCTTACACCGCACAAAAAATGAAAGCCTACAAAAGTACGGATAGCTATCTTGGGTTAACAACGCTGTCGTATGGGAGGTGAAAAACAGGAATATCTTCATAATCAAAGCAAACGTGAGTGTTACTAGTTAGCTAGCTAACGTTACCCGCTAACGTTTGCTAATGTTTGCATGTTTGTAGCTGTTTGTAAAGTGACATCTGTTCCGTCGTGTGATGAAGTCTTCATCTGAATATGTACACCCTGCCTGCCGGCGAATGACAGCTTGATAAGTAACGTTAGTTTAAAAAAAACCTTATGCCAACTAGGCTGTATCATATATGGCTAACAGGTTGTCAAACATTGTAGCCTACCTGCTCATCCACTCCACATAGCATCAGACAACAGACAAGAGCAGCTGGGGCAGCGAAATGCCTTTAATCCTGTTAGCAGTCTGTTAGGTTGTAACGTTAATGTAGTAGTAATAACTGCACCATAGTATGTATGCAAAGTAACTGTAAGTAAGTAGACGCAGTACAACAGTAACGTGTGTACTGTAACATGTATTCTTCTTCTCATCATATCATATCAAATCACGTACATATGATATATATATATACTTTTGTATAGTAAAACTGGCGACGTCCTGGCAAGATCTTTGATTAGTTTACTGGGTTTCGTTGCTGGAGAACGATGTTCTTGCCCGCCAGCTAGTAGTTGTAACGTCACGTGCAAAGTATGAATACTGCTACCTGGCAAAACCATATATGATTTCTGAACAGATCATACAGACCGGTCTACAACAAAATACTCTTTTAAACCTCCATTTATCAATATCTCACCCATTATGATCATATCTTAATTACCACTTACTACTAGTAGAAACCATTACCAGAAAGATATCTACAATGAGACGCACAATACTCTCTCTCATTGACAAAGACAACTATATCTAACTATACACATTATTTAATGTGCTGACAATGTCATACTGCTATGTTATTGTAACATGGTGATGTGATGGTGATGTTGGTTTGGTTTCTGTCTTGGCTCATGCACATTACCATCCTTCTGAATATGTTTACAGTGCCAATATTGACACTTAGATAATACACAGACACAAACATTTACACATCACGAGACTCATGACTGCACTGTAAATGTCAACTGAAAAAATAAGATTCTTCTATTAGATATAGGCCCTTAAAGGCAAGGTGAAAATAGGTTTTTCAGAATTTCTAAGTTTATCTTCTTCTTAAGAATCATCAAGAATTATCTTCCTCGCAATATAATTAATAAATGTAACTTTCTGGTGCATTATTAACCATTGTTTTGGTTGTTAAAGAATGAGAAATGAAGGCTTATAATATAATTTGTTTTTAAATATTTCCTATACAATGAATGTAACCCCAACTGGTCGAGGTAGACAGCTACCCACCTAGAGCCCGGGTCTGGCCGAGGTTTTTGCCTCTCTTCCTTGCCACTGTCGCTCCTGGTGGAACTGTTGGGTCTCCGTAAGTAATGTTATAAGGAGTACGGTCTAGACCTGCTCTATTTGAAAAGTGTCATGAGATAACTTTTGTTATGAATTGGCGCTATACAAATAAAACTGAATTTAATTTAATTGAAAGTTGAAAGCATAATAGAATTGTATGCCTAACAGGAACATGAATTGGTTAATTTTTCAGATGAATTACAGACTTTGTTAGTGTTAAATTAGATTTGAAAGTTGAGTATTTAAAGGACTACTGTGTAGGATTTAGTGGCATCTAGCATTGTTTCAACTGAATACAGCTCGCGTCAGTATTTGATGACCTGGGAAAGAGAATGGATTGTGTGTGGGAGAAACTACTGTGGCCACAAAACTCGCAAAAAACTATACTACTACAATCTACAGCCAGTGTTTGGTTTGTTTCAGGTGATTATATAGTAATAAAAACATACCTGTCAATGTTATATTCCATTTCTGACAATAGATCCTCCCAAATCGCTCCTAAAGGGCGGCTGTGGCTCAGAGGCAGAGCAGGTCATCCACTAATCGGAAGGTTGTTAGTTTGATCCCCAACTCCTCCCGCCACACGTCAAAGTGTCTTCGAGCAAGATATTGAACCCCAAATTGCTCCGATGCTATGCATTGGTGTGTGAATGTGTATAAATGCCGTAGTTTCTGTTCGATGGGCTTTGCCATCACTCGTGTGTGAAAGGGTGAATGTGGCATGTAGTGTAAAACCGCTCTGAGTGGTCGGAAGACAAGAAAGGTGCTATACAAGTACAGGTCCATTTACCATACAATTATGACATGTAAAATCTCTTTAGAGGCTAATCACATGTATAATCTCAGAATGTTATGTAGTGATGGGAATTGATAAGAATTTAACGATTCCGATTCCATTATCGATATTGCTTAACGATCCGATTCCTTATCGATTCTCTTATCGATTCTCATTGGGTGAGGGAATAAGTACAAATTTGCTTGTTTGTATTAACTCACCTTAATATCTGATCAAAAGACACAGCACAGAGTATACACAAATTATGTGTAGCAACCTCAGAACAAACCTATGTTTGCAATGTTACGGTGAGGTAGTGGTCTTGACTGAAACTAGTCCAACCATCTGCTGTGATGACTGCATGTGTGACATGTTTCAGGTCTGTGATCAGATTGCTCTTTTCAACCCCATACCAAGCGGGAATCAGATGATTTGTTAAACTGTCTCTGTTTGGGGCATTGTATTTTGGGTTGAGAGTCTTTATCATCTCCCTACAGAAAATATATGGTAGGACTAGGAATTAATAAAACAGAACCATACTGACATAAAAACATGCAACTTTTGTGCATGCATTTGTTATTTTCATTTGAAAAGACATGCTGGACAAAATACAGCATAGTAACCTACCGAACTTCAGAGGCATCTGCTGTGGCAAACGGGTACAAAACCCTTTACCACAAACTTAGTCACTGCTCGGTGACATTCGTATATCCTCGCCTCTGTCATTTTATTCTTCCCTGCCTCTGTGAACGGAGTAGCTAGAGGTACACGAGAGCTACTTGCTGCAGCCTCTGAGCCAGTGTGAGAGCCAGCCTCTGGCCGTCATCATCATCTAAATTTGATGGACAATGACAATGGAGATTATTCGTATAGTAAAAGTTTACATAATGAAATGGCGCTCACATTAACTAAGTGGGCCTGTCCTGCCTGGAGAGTTTAAAGTTAACTTCGGCATTAATAACAGATGGTGTCCCGTTAGCTCCGCTGCTGCTTGACTCACTTGTGTCGCTAAGTAGTAGTGTATCAAACACGCGACAGTCCTGCAAATGAATTGCATGCTGTGTGGCCAAATGTTTCTGCATATTGGAGGTAGTTCCCCCCTTTGACAAAATGAAAACTTTACAAGTGTTGCAAGTGACCGTATTGTCGTCTTTTGCGTGAAATATAACCAAACTTTAGAGCGCTTCTGCCTTGACGCCATGTTTGCTGCGTTCTGAATCAAAACAACGCAGCGCGTGTGTGACGTCATGGCGCATTTGCAATGAGTGGAACCGATAAACGGAATCGTCAAGCAGGCATGCTAACGGTTCCACAGAATCGATTCACTGGGCACCAGTTCTAAAGAAGAACCGGTTCTCGATTCCCAATGTTATGACAAAATACTGGGGGAACTCAATATGCAATATGTATAGCCACTAGCGGGAATATGCTAATGTTTACTGACCAATTTGTTTTTAATCCCTCCAGAGAGTGAAACCAATTATACCTCATTCATAAACATTAAGGTGAGATACTACAGGGAAAAACATTGTTTTTTCACACATTAGTCAATTTTGAGAAATTGGGCAGGTCTAAGGTCCATTTACGATTCAAATGTTACACACCTGACCTAATAAACAATTATAAATTAATTAATTCATGTGCAACTAAAATATGCGTTTAAAAATCAAATGTTTTCAATGCTCAGAGAAGTTCATACATGCTATTTTTGAAGTCGAGTAATCTTGCTTGGTGCAATACACCCCCATCTGGATTGTTTCTGGAAGGCAGGTGCCTGACTTGCACTTTCTCATGAATAGTGGGGTATTTTAAGGTTTTTGTATGACCTGTGAACAAATGGGCACTTTTTGCATTAAACTCAATTGAGTGGCATATTTTGCCTAGCATGTGACTTTTTGTATTGTATCTTCTCATAATTGCATATTACATTGTCAGTTAGATTGTTGTTGTTGTTTGTTATACAAAGTAATTTTAACTACTTTTTCTAAGTAATTTCTCTCTTCAGTGACACTGACTTCATGCCAAGCATATTATCCCAATAGTCTCCTGTGAGTTTGCTATTCGAATAAAAACCTTTTTTCATGGTGAAACAGAAAGAGGCAGGAGAGTTTTGGGAACAGGTGGGTTTACTGAACAGGTGCAGAAACTATAGCACTAAAAACACGTGTCCAGACAATGTCTGAATAGAAGATTTCAGAAGAACTGACTGATTGTCTGACTGCAGTTTGGCTCCATCTAATGTTCTAATGGTACACTGACATTCAGTAATACAGGAGGCCTCAGTGTTACTTACATAACTCAAGATGAGAGGGTAGTGATATAGCAGCTTATAAAGATAACTTTTTGATATATTTGCTGAAACTTTCACTATATCCTGACAGTAGTACATGAGACAGATCATTTTGAAAAAGTCAGGTTGCTCTGGCTCTTCCTAGTGCTCCTAATGGTATTTGCAAGAATCCATCGGGCCTAAACGAAAACAACCAATCAGAGCCAAGAACGATGAAAAGGCGCATTGGGTTGGAGGCTTGAATTAAGTCGATTATTGAGTCTCATTCCCAGAGTCGACGTCTGACTACCTAGGAATGAGACTCAACAATCAACTATCTTTCTTGGCTCTGATTGGTTGTTTTTCATTCAGGCCTGGTGGATTCTACTGCTAGGATATCAGATGTCAGGATATAGTGAAACTAATTGTGGGCTCCATTTCCGGGCTTGTCAGTTGATGTTTGTGGCAGATTGTCTGAGGGTGTGTCCAATCTAACTCAACTTTCTCCTTCTAATTTTCCTGGGCTGCAACCTTGATGTGGTGGAGAGGCTTGTGTACTGGAAATGGATGGGGTTTAATACCCCAGGTAGGAATAACCAAACCAGACGACCAGAAGACGAAGAAATCCCTGGTCCTGTTTGACTGAAATACTTTTGAGAGTATAGTTACAGGACTGAAGCAGATTAGTTGCATATTTGACACTTGTGGGAGATAGCAGGGGGTGCATTTCTATGGAGGTAGAACAGTTGGCATCAAAAATAAAATGGCATTGAAAACACAACTAAAAAGTAACATTGGCATTGCATGTCCACAATCAGAATTTGCAGTATTTCAGTACATAATTATACTCAAGTAGAGATAAATAATAACCTAACACCAGGGTTCTAAATTAACACCCGCCAACCCGCCAAATGCAGATTAAAAATCATTTTGGCGGGTGTTAATAAAAACTTACTAGCCAGTTTGGCCGGTGATGCATGAGGCAATCATGTCAGTCAGAGCCGCTCTACTGTTCTTGCTCCCTGGGCAGTACTGACTACATTTCCCATAAACGCTGTCGTGATGCTACGTGATGACGTATAAGATGCCCATTGGCTGCGTGAAGTTAGTGCAATATATAGAAGAATATAAAGAAGAAGAAGAAGAAGAAGAAGAAGAAAAAGAATGAATGAATGAACGGAGCAGAAACTATAAAAAGAAGGGAGGGAGCTAGCTAAAGTAAATTAAAAAGTAGCCTAAACTTAAACTAAATGCGGCGGTGGTTGGTTGGACAGACGTCTGGGGGCGAGAAGAGGAAGGAGGCAGGGGATGAGGTTGAGAATATCAACAACAATGCGTGCGAAACGAAAAAAAGAAAGTTCAATGCCAAATGGCTGACGGGTCGTGAATGGCTTGTGTTTGATCACGAAAATGTCGTCATGTTTTGTAAGGACTGCCGCATATACGCAAAAGAAAAAAACAAAACAAACAATTTCGTGGTTGGAACCAATAATTTGAAAGTCGAGGCTGTAAAGGACCATGAGAGTGCCCGGAGTCATCAGGAGAGCTTCAGGATTAAATCTGCCGAAACAGGTCGTATTGAAGAGAGCCTTGCTGGGAGAAAAATTTGGCTAGTGGAAATTCTGATTCAAATTGGCTGGTAATCAAAAAAGTTAATTTAGAACCCTGCCTAACACACTATATAATTATATCTGGACTTAAATTAGAACAAAAAGTGACATGGAATGCAAATTGCAATTCCCATTTACCTTTTTTTCAATAACTTTTTTTTTCAAAGTTTAAGGTTATATTGTGACATGTAAAGAAGTGAATAGCAATGAAAACCATCAAAAAAGAAAAGAATAACAGAACACCAAAATAAAAGCAGACAATGTGTCGCTTTTTCGTTTATATATTAATAAATGGTAGTCAGGAAAAAGCTCCTTTGCCGATTTTGGTTTTCTCATTTCAAATTAAAAAAAAAAAAATCTGAAGGTACAATCACTCAGGTACATAATTACACCTATAGAGCATATAACATCTGTTGTTGTTTGTACTTGTAGCAGCATTATACAACACCAGCTGCTGAGGTTTGTTTGGAAAGGACTGGAGGATAAGCAGTGACCATTTCCAGAAACCAAGGTGATCTTATGAAATGCTCTACACAAAATCTAAAGGGTCAGTAAGACATACAAGACAAAGAGGACCTGTATCCAGATCTGTATATCATATCATATTGTATCATATAAAAAAATAAAAATACAATTATTTTAAAGATCCAATCTATAATCTTCTGCATTTTGTCTGTATCTTAAAAAATACAAACATATCACCACCTTGGATAGCTCCATATTATATATATTATATATAAACATCCAGTTATAGATATATTAACTTGACTGAGATGACCCTAATAACTCAAATAACAACAGATGGGCCTGCAGATTGGCTGTAGCACTGGTCCCCCAGTCGGGGTTGCCAAAGCTTCACAGGTGGTTGCAAGGCCTTCTTGATTTTTAGGGGTGTAAGAAAACTTTTTCTTTTAAATACACAGTAGGCCTTTATCTCATTTCATTCATTTCTGTGAATTGTTGCTTTTAAAGACACAATCTATATCCACAGAGCCTTCACATTTTTGATAAACAGACTGCATTAGGGGCCAATCACACAGAGACGCATTGTTACAGGTGCAGCCACAAACCAACATCAAATATAACAGGAAAAATGTATTGAAGCAGGCGTCAAGCTCTAGATGAGTAAATGCTAGCTTCATTCAAAAGGTGCATAACTGAGGTTACTTGAGCTTACCCTCCACTACACCCCTAGTCCATAGTTTTCTCACAGTCAAACAGCTAGCTAACTAGCTAGCTAACCTATTTACCTGCATAGTAAACAGCATCAAAACAGATGGAAAAATGGTTTTGGAGTTGACACGTTTCTAGCATGATTGGCCCCTAAGAAAAGTTAAAACAAACCAAAGAACTACTAGAACAATGAGAAGAAACTAATGAATTTGTTTAAAAAGAAACCTATTAAGTATGTATGACAGAGATAAAAAAAAAAGACATAAAGAGAATAATATGAGACATAATACAGAGAATTGTATATCGTTTAACGATCGTTAAATTATCAGGAAAACTCATCTCTGATCAACATTCACAGGAAATAATCTGCTCAAAATTCATCCAAATGGCTCGTTTTACACACACTTCCTGGAGTTCTTGTGTTCACTGTTGTTCTGTACTGTTATTATTTTAAAATGTATATAATTTGAATTATCCATAAAATATGTTACTGAGTCAGTTTATTAATAGAAAAGGGCTCCCTTAAGGAAAAAGAGTGGAACCATTGCTGTAAAGCTTAGCTGGGAGTAATTGTCAAAACACTGTACACCAACATTAGACTGTGTACCCAGGTTGGATACAATGTAGCCTCATATCACAGTCCAACAATGGTATCATAGTCAGATACACTAACTTCCTTCAAAATTAAATGAAACCAAAACAATCATATCAGAGGTCACAGGTCATGGCCCAGCCAGACAATCTCGTCCAGCAGGAAGTCGATGTCCTCTTGCTGTGTGGCAGGGTTGGAGAACACACATCTGAAGAAATTGACTTTGTCTCCCAAAGGTTGATAACCAATCAGAACAGAGCCCTTCTCCATCATCCTGCCTTTGATCTGAGGAGCCACCTGCAGACATAAAGAGACACAAGACCACCATCAAACAGAGAGTTAGTCTGACCATTAAGGAATGAGTCCAGAGGAACCTCTGTGATGTTCTGTACTGACCTGATGGAGTCTTTTGTCTCTTTCAGTTCCAAGTGGCAGGCCTCTCAGACTGGGGGGGATGTACCAGAAACACACATTGCTGTGCTCTGGCTGTGTGAGAGGTGGAGTACAAATATGCCCAATAAGAATTATTAGTGGTTTAGATAGATGACCTATCCACGTCAGGTCCTACCAATAACTACAATCTTATGCAGTGGTGCATCTCTCTGGGATCGGCTCCTTAGTCTAGTCCCCACCAAATTACCATGCACTGTGGAGACCCCTTCCAATAATTTGAACGTGGCACACAGATTGATCAAAAAGATAAATATATGTTTCCTCATGAAAACCAGCCTTACTTTATCCTTGAAGACCAGCTCAAAGTCTGTCCTCATCTGCAGTTGATCGTACAGATACTCAGCATTCTCCAAGCATTTGTTGACCTGAGTTCCGAAACCCTCTGAGCCCTGAGAGAGTGGGTGACAGACAGGACTTTAAACAGGCATACATATGTTTTATCAAACAGTCTTACAGAAGGGGAAGGTTGAGGCAATTAGTGAAAAATTTACAAACTGTAAAAACAGACAGCATCCAATAATGTAAAAAGTTATTTAGTAGACACACATACACACCAAACTGCATTCCTCAGTATCAATCAAAGCTCACAGACAGACGTACAATATATAATTTCTACTATTAGGGGTCTCTAACATTGAAACAATAACGACAACAACAGACTATTTTAAAGTTTTGATGAGTTGAACCCATGACCGCTGCAGCATGGTCTCGTCCTTACAGGAGCGCCAGTTCTACCAGATGAGCCGTCAGGGTGGCCTGTATCCTTTTTATTTTGTTTATGTGGGGGTATATATATATACTGTAGAAAAAACAATGCATATTTCCTTCTGTTTGTAAAAGTGAAACATTTGAATCTTCACATATTTGTATCAGGATATGGTCTTGTTATCTTGAGAAAACAAAAGCTAAGAGCAAGTCATGACAGACACACACACTGATCTGTCATGACGTTGTACCCTCTCTCTCCCCCCATCTGAGAAAAGAGCAGAAACACATTAGTAATATGTCAACCAGCAGAGGGGGAGCATGTAACAATCAGAATGAGAGGAGAGAGTGAAAAGAATATTAACCGTATCTCACTGGCGTTACACTGATACTGTAATGCTGTGAATACCTTTGCCTTCCACATGAGCCAGAGTTTAAAGGCATCCACATGTCGGCCACACTGGATGCTTTTATCCCCAGTATCATAGCTCACATTGTAGGGTTTGTCCATCTGGAAAAGGTACTCAGCACAGAACTCATTGCACTCCTTTAAGAGACCCTGCAAAAGAGGGAGGCGGACATTCAGCTACAGCTGGACATTACTGACTACAGATTTCATGGCCATAATAATCGTTGAGAAATTAGAAATTTTGGAGCAACTGAGAGGCAGACTGACATTGCCATCCCTGAAGCCAGGTTTCTCTCTGGCATGGCTAGAAACATTCAGTGAATCGCTTCCAAAGATAGTCTTATACAGTATTTGTACTGTGAATTTAAATTGAAGAACAGAGGATCATTTCTTACTTTCTTCTTGACCAGTATTGCAGAGCACTGCAGAGGGACGCCCATCATCTTGTGAGGATTCCACGTTACAGAGCAGGCTCTGGAAAATCATTGCAAATGTAACAATTCCATACTGGTTGATGACACTGGCAACCTTAGACCCTGCTGCTGACCATGCAAACACAGCATCTGGCCAGGGCCTTAAGGCGAGACACTACCCTACAGCTGTGGGTCAGAAGGCAGAGCGGGTCGTCCACTCATCAGCAGGTAGTTCAATCCCTGATTACTCCTGCTGCATGCTGATGTGTCCTTGAGTAAGATACTGAACCCCAAGTTGCTCCTGATGCTGTGCATCAGTGTGTGAATAAATGGGTTGATTTCTGTTTGTGATGAGCATTTGCTATTATTGTATCAAAGGGTAAATGTGGCATGTAGTGTAAAGCACTTTGAGTGGTCGGAAGACTAGAAAGGTGCTATACAAGTACAGTCCATTTACAAGCAAAAATGTGTTGTTTTTTCATACACTGGTCAATTGTGAGATTTTGGGCTCTTTCGCTTCCATAATGCTAATCCCATGCAGTTTGGCACAACAAACCTCCAAACTATATGCAGAAAAATGCAAACAAAAAAGTTTTTTTGCATGTGGTTTAAAAGTACAATTTTTGCCTAGTGTATTTGAGTATTTTTGCATATTGCGGTCCCTAAACAGTGTTTGAATTGGATAAACTGCGAATGAGTGGAAAGCTGAGACACATACTTCACTTGCAGTCGTCACCAAGTGCTTGCTCATGGTGGGAACTGTTGGGTCTCTGTAAATAACTTTATAAGGAGTTCGGTCTAGACCTGCTCCATTTGAAAAGTGTCCTGAGATAACTTCTGTTATGAACTGGCACTAAATAAAATTTAACAGAATTTAGTTGAATTGTGCCACCCTTGTGAAAAAAGTCTGTACAACACCCCGGGAATACACTTAAGTAAAAGATAGACTTTTTTCTCTTGTCTTTATTTGCATAAATAGTAATGAAAACTAACAGAAATTAATCAAGTTACATTATATTGTGATACTTGGATTAGGTTACTGATTAGGTTGTTATTTTATCATTTCATATTTATGTATAATATTATTTTATTAATACATTTTATTCTATTTTATTCATCTTTTATGTTATTCTATGAATTTGATACTCTTTTTCTGTGTGTACCATGAAGGAACTACAAACGTTCATTACATCACACTCTTGAGCCAGAAATCTCCACTACATTAGCACTTACACACACGTAGGCTATGCAAAATTCTGCACACAGTAACACACACATATAATTGATTTGTGATGAGTGGCAATAAGACTGGTGTTGTGGAAAATAACCAGGTAAGGATTTATAGAAAGGAAAGTGTATGCTATTTCTATTCAGGTGGACCAACCAATTGATTCAGTGTTTGCCAACAGTGTCCATTGGCAACATGCTTTGCTTCATTATTCAAGCTGAATTCACAGTGAGTTGTAGTCTTCGTAGTGGTGTCCCACAGAAACTCTCAGAGAAAACAAAGACATGCTGGCTGTGTGAAGTGGTTGTGACGCACTCACCGTTCAATGCCCTGTAGTTTCATCCTGTGTCTGTCTGACATCAGCAGGCCTCCACCCCATGCTGCCTAGAGGGACAGAGTCCAAAACACAGAGTACTCAAAGAAACATACAGCTTACACATTCTGGCTGTATAGAACGGGTGTATTGGTGTGTGACGCTGGTTATTTTCATTTTCATCTTATGCCATAACTTGTTAATATGTTTACATGTTTTGAACTTTGATATATAATATATTAAACCGATTATAGGCCCGACTGTGAATGCTGCTGTTGTAAAATCTACTTGTTCTGAAGATGCTGTCCTGTGTGAAACACTTTGTAACATGTATAAACATTATTATATTAAAACTGCAGTAGGGAACTTTTATAAAAAAATAACTAATAATGTCACTGTGTTCTAGCAGTAGTACATGAGACAGATAATCTGTGAAAACAGGTTTGTTCTAGTGCTCCTCATGGCATTCGTGAGAATCCACTGGGCCTGGATTAAAAACAACCAATCAAAGCCAAGAAAGGTATATGGATGCTTTGGGTTGGAGTTTTTTAGATAGTTGACTGTTGAGATGAACAATTCGTGCAGGAATGTGCAAAGGATTATGATATTCATTATATGACTGGTAGGCTGTGTTCCTTTTTTATTTCAATTCCAACCATGGCAATGAAGTCATATTAGAGATAGAGGTAAGAGTGCAGGTTGGAAAGTATCTAAAACGCACTATTTGTAGTCCATCTTTAGTTTGTTGTAGTTACAACACAGCATCAACATCCGCTGTCGCATAATTACGTACTGTAGTAAAGTAGATTCTCTCAGTACTGCAGTTGTATTTTCTTAAGTCCTTATGAATTATGAAACTCTGATTGCCTTAACTGGTGTTAAACTGTACTACGATGAATATTTCTGACCTAGGATAGATCCTACTAAATGTTACACTCTGGACCTTTAATCTAAATGTGTCCTTTATTCATCTGTTTTTATTTATATAAATTAGTTTGACCACCGTGTATTGTACGGAAGCTATTTTCATTCACTTGAAAAAAGGCTCTTTTTTTCTAAATCAACAAGATTCCTCCAGCACACCCTCCTTGCCCAGGGCCGCCCCCCTAAGCCTAACGTAAATCCTGTATCCATTCTGAAGCAGGCTCATGCAGGGCTCTGTCTAGCCTGTTCATCCCCTGGAACTCCCCTGGAGAACCGGAGGGAAAGAGGGAGATCGGTGAGATCTGTGCTCATGCACAGTGCCTGTTCTCAGCTGTCCTCCTGTGTGTGTGTGTGTGTGTGTGTGTGTGTGTGTGTGTGTGTGTGTGTGTGTGTGTGACATTGGGTATGAAAAAAGTATCTCATGATTATGACATAGTAAGTTGTTGATTTAGAAAAACAGATACACGTCTGTAGTATTGCCCTCCTTCACATATTGCAGAGACTGGTTTAATGAACATTTTATTTACCATTGCATAATGATAAAAAAGAGATTGGTGTGTGTGTGTGACTGAGAGAGAGAGAGAGGGAGAGGGAGAGAGAAAGGCATGGCGTTGCTTACATCAACATGCATCCACAGAGTGTGTCTGTGGCAGATGTCTGCGATGTCATTGAGAGGATCGAAGGCGCCGTACACCGTGGTGCCCGCTGTCGCATTCACGTAGAATGGAACCAAACCCTGGAGAGAGAGAAGGTAGGCCTACTGTACTGTATGTTCCAGCTGTCTGCCCTCCATCAACTGACTTCCTAAGTCCCGCCCCTTTCTGCTCTGGGCTCCAATAACAGTTGAACAAGCCTCTGTCAGAATCTCAGTCAGTAGATATTCTAGATATTCTATGTGCTAGGCTCTCTATGTTGAAAAGACAACCACATTAAATGGTAAACCACAGAAATTAAATCTATTATATAAATAATGTAATATAAATATAACTTAATATAATATTATTCTGTTTTTTGCCTTTAATTCTTACCTTTTCTTCAGCTGTAACAATGGAAGACTCCAGTTCAGCAGGAATCATTTTCCCTCTTAAAAGACCAAAAGTAAACAAAGGTCCAGTAAACAGTAACTGACCAGACTTGCTTTTCCAGACAGTCAACTGACTGTATGTTTAGGCACAATAAATAGTGAGAATCCTCTAAATCTGTGTGTAAGCAAATGTATTTTAAAACTAGGGTGGATAATTGCAAATCACAAAGACACACACTCACAGACACTCATAAAGCACCAACAGGTGAGCAAACATTTCTTTTGTCATGCATCACATTGACTATTAACCAACACATGTTTGCTTAGTGAGTGTCTAATTTACCCACCTTTCATCACATTTCACCACAGCCACATTCTCACTGCCTATCCCCAGCACAGCTGCAGATTTCTTCACTGAATAGTGACTCTGAATGGGTGAAAAGACAGCCTTTCATCTTCACTTGTCTCACACTAAAAACCGGTAGGCATTTCATTCGGCTCAAAGAAGTGGCTGCATTGTTTGGTCCTGAAAAGTTCCCAGGAAGTGAAACTGAATACAAACAGCATCGATAAGCAATAAGCTAGATAAGCAATTGATATCAGTGGCTGTGGCTCAGAGGTAGTTGTTGGTTTGATCCCCGGCTCCTCCCCGCATGTCTAAATATCCTTGAGCAAGATACTGAACCCCAAATTGTGTATGAATGAGTTTGTTTCTGTTCGATGGACTTTGCCATCACTGAGTGAATGTGTGTGAAAGGGTGAATGTGGCACGTAGTGTAAAAGCACTTTGAGTGGTCGGAAGACTGATCATATTTTAAATCTCAGAATGTTATGACAAAATCCTCGGGGAACACAATATGCAATATGCATGCCCATGCTAATGTTTACTGACCAATTTGTTTTTATCCCTCCAGAGAGTGAAACCATTTATACTTCACATTAACATTAAGGTGAGATACTACAGGCAAAAACATTTCACACACTGGTCAATTTTGAGATTTTGGGCTCTTTTGCTTCCAAAGTGTCCTGAGATAACTTCTGTTGAATTGGCGCTATACAAATAAAATTGAATCGAATTGAATTGAATATCATGTTTTCTTTTAGACTAGTGAAAGAAAACACCCAAATACGCATTTAGGGGTTTATTGTACACTCTGTTTGTTTGCGACTGTGGATTTCACCAAAAGTTAGCATTACAATCTCTAGTGTCTTCCAGATATGCGGGAAGTGAGTGAAGTTACGTATCAAGTTTGAAGTTCTAGCACCTTTGCATGACATTTTATAGAAGAGTCAAGCGATTATGTTTCATCAAATCATTACAGCAGCAATTCTATTCATATTTATGTATCCTTACTTATTTTTTGTGTGTAACCAGCACTAAAATGTTATTTAGGTGTAGTTAGTTTGTGTGTGAGATGTGATTACATGTTCGGAAGTGAAGAGGGCCAGCTGAGGCAGAGCTCCCATCCCTCTGGTTTTCACCTCGGGGTAGAAGTGATATCTGGCCAACAAGATGCTGTACAGGTTGGATATTGTGCCTCCTTCAGGAAACAGAATGCAGTTTATAGACAAGTAGCAGCCACGCTCTGTGTTGTGCCTGTTACAATCTCCTGTATCTACGGATACTTAGTGTTGCTTTATCTGCCTTAATAACAACAGTTCATCCATGTCTGCCGTACCTTCCCTGCATGTATACCTGGGCAGAAGATTCCATCTCCGTCATCGTCAGACCATCCCACAATGCTTTGCATCTTCCTCAGCAGAATCTCCTCCATGAGGAGGAAAACAGGAGACACTTCATATGTAAACCTGATAAAGAAACATATTAAATCGTAATGTACTTCACATTATAACATCTCATATTTTATTATCATCGTCATCATTAGGCTAAGACAGAATAATAAGATGATCCCATGATGTATTTGACACTTTGGTAATAAGATTTGGTGATACTTTTCTATGTAGTGGAGGTCGGCAATAATTGAATACCAATAAAATATTCAATACATTTGCAATAGTTTTGGCTAATTTTATATTATTTAAGGTATTAACTAAGCATTATGTAAATTTATGGTATTCTGGAAATTATTAGGTTTAGTATAGTTATTCTGAATACCTTGATGTGTGATATGAGCACACATATCAGTCAATCATAGGTCAAAACATTGCTACAGTAGCTGAATCGTAAAAGCCAGACATGGAACTAAATGAAGAGTCTTTTGGGACCCAAAAAAGGTTCTTTATTGCGAATGTGACAGAATTCCCATCACTTGTCTGTAGGTGCATTATACAAAGGGAAGAATGCATGCAAAGTCAGTGGAAAGATGGTAACAGATAAAGACTCATCTGCTTTGTTTGAAAATGTTGCGGTTGAAAAGACAAATTGCAGTTATAAGAAACAGACCACTGTCAGCGGCACTAGTGGTGAGTATGTGTCTTTGTTTGGTAGCACACATTATGGTTGAAAAATTACCTAAATTTTTTTTTTAAATTAAAGCTGCAAGCAGCGTTGGGCGGAACAGTCAACACATATCATCAACAATGTGTTTTGCATTTTATAAATAAATTTCAGCTGGATCTGATCATCCTGCGAGGAGAACAACATGAAAGATTAAAATGTGATACTTCCTGTTACCAGTATGTGGCGCTATCACTATGTCTGAATATTGTCATGTAGACAAATAGAAAGGCGCTATACAAGTACAGGTCCATTTACCATCCATTTACCATATTCCCCTCTGATGTAATAGAGGAGTATAAAGTATAAAGTTGGCCTATAAACTGGAAATACTCAAGTAAAGAACAAGTACCTCAAAACTGTGCTTAAAAACAATACTTGAGTAATTTAACTTAGTTACTTTCCACTAGCGATGATTTGATCTTACATGTTAGTGTTGGCTGTAGAGGTCAGCCATTCTCCAGCTACACCAATCACATCCAGACCTGAAGACAACTGGTTGAAGAAACGGGGATGGCCTGGACAAACAAAGGTCATAGGTCAAGGTCAAGCATGTAGTTAACAAGAGACAAGGCCATCGGCTGGTCAGGCTCAAATGCGGTAGTTTGACAACCTGTTCAAATTCACTTTGAATCTGACTGAACTGTGTGAAATAGATGACAAATCTGTTCAGGCACTGCAGCAGTGACAGAGCTACTGATACTAGTTTTTCCACCAATTGGCTCTGGTTCTTCCATTCAAGATTCCCTGAACCTTGTCCTCACTTCCAAGAATCAAGGATGTAATCAAGGATGTGTCATAAACACAAGGTTTGGCACAATGCACAATCTGTTTTTTTAATTTTTTTGTATGCTGCTAGTTTTAGGTGTGTGGACCTGCTATTTTTGGATTCCAGTTGGGAACCAACTTTGCTGCTGGTGGAAAAGGCCTATCAGAGATGGAATTCCAAAGGACTTCAAACCCTCCATTTTCTAGACAAACAGTGAGACTGAGCTCAGAATTCTTCTCACTATACCAGTGACTGTGGCATTGGGAGAGCACAGTGACTAAAAATCAATAACTATGTGAGTCTATTTGAAGCAGATGTTAAATCCAAGGTGAATCATACAGATCTTACTGCTGAGCGACTTCCACGTAAGAGCAGAGTTTCCTCACACACACACACACACACACACACACACACACACACACACACACACTTACCTGTACTGACGCCATACTTGAGTGTGTCCCTACAGTCCACCAGTATCTGTTCCAGAGTTTCCGGTTGGTCTGGCAGATTCAGACTGAAGCCCTCCAGTCCATCCTTCAGCTGGTGAGGATGGTGGAAGTCCAGGACCTAAAAACACAAGGAACATGATGTCACTTCCTGTCTCTCATATATGTACACACAAAAACATTTAATACACATTTTTTCAGTAAAATCTATTCAGAATGCTCACACATTTAACCTGGTGAAAGCTGTGTTTTTCATTCATGTGTTTAAAAATGAAAAAAAAATTACTTTTAGTAATCCCACTTTACTGCAGAAAATACTTTAAAGAACCAGTTTGTAGGATTTAGCAGATCGCAACTCCCCTTCTTCACCCTCCCCTTCCAGGTGTGGAGAAACTGCGGTGGCCAAGAAACACACAAAAATTAAATGGCCTGATCTTGAACCAGTGTTTGGTTTTTCCATTGTGAGCTACTGTAAAAACATTTCTTATTATACACTAATGGAAACTTTCCATATCCTTCTTTCTTTATTGCCTTTTGATATCAGCAGTGTTTACTGAGCCAAAATAACCAGATAAAAAGGTATGAAGAATGATGTCGCTGAGAGGAGTGTTGACATACTGTAAAGGATTCAAACACAGCAATATATTGTTGACAGAAGCAGTTGAGTACCTTGGAGCTCCTCTGACTTGACTTGCAGATATAACCAAACAAGATCTTGACTAGCTCCTGCAGAAACCCTAGGGTCATCTCCTCACCTCCTGAAGCTGGGAGCAGGTCTGTGTCAACACCCACACAGACATACACACACACACACACACACACATTTATTTCTTTCAAATGATAGTTGCCTAACCTGGGAGAAATTTAGCTATCAGAAGTTATACAAAGCAGGCAGAAAACAAGCCAGAGAGAACAAAAGTACCATTTTACCATTATTATTTACCATATACAATTCTTTTGGGGCTTTAATTGTTGCTTGGCTGTGAACAACAAAGATTATATAAAATTATGATATAAAATTGTATAGAAACTGCTGTTTGCAAGTTTTATGAAATATCTTTTAGAATATTACACTTTCTTTTAGTACTTGAATGTTATAGTGCCCCTCCTATGAGTACTTTGAGTTTGAGACCCCTGGATTAAAGCATACCTGAAAATGTTATAGGAACTGAAAGCACTCGGTTAAGATACCGGAAAGATGGCGCTCTTGATTAAATATTGAGAACGTCAGAGGCAACTTGAAGCACAAGACTTGACATATTTATTGTATTACAGCTTACAGATGGTCAGGAGGACCTCACCTGACCCTGGACAACCTGAGCTCTCACCTTTGCTGTAGACAATGCTGAAGTCAGCAGGTGTCCATCTTGGGTCTCTAGCTGCTGCTGAATCCTCCTGCTGTTTGTCCTTCACAGCGGATTTATCAATCATACTGTCTGAAAGTACAAAATCAACATTTGTTGAGCTACTGATGTGTCTATGGGGAATTTTATATCTGATCTGAGTGAAATTCTTTGAGGTAACGTGAATATGGCTCAGGAAGACAAACTCTTTGATATGTATACAAATGACAATATTGTGTAAATAATTCAGAGTCTCTTGAATAATTTCCATTTCTTTCCCTTCCCGCTTTGTAGTTCACACTCCAACTATGCCTGTGTATTGGTAAGAATCTGGCAATACTATACGTATCACATTACAGGGGTTACACCTCTAGGACCGCCTTCTTTCATTTATGTAATATTGCAAAAATTAGACACATCCTGTCACAGACAGATGCAGAAAAACTAATTCATGTATTTGTTACTTCTAGGCTGGATTACTGCAACTCTTTATTATCAGGTTGCCCCAATAAGTCCATTAAGATGCTTCAATTAATTCAGAACCCTGCAGCAGCCATGGTCCTGCTTGACTCCCATTGCTAATATTGATATTATTATTATTATTATTATTATTATTATTGTTGTTGTCCATCGTCCCCCATCGTTGTGGCTGCGGTCGTCGTCATCATCATCATCATCATCATCAGTCATTTATTTATTAGTATAGTTGTTGTGCACCTTTGTCTCTGTCAGAGCCCCCCTCTCTCTCTCTCTCTCTTTGGGTGGGAACTGTTGGGTCTCTGTAAATAATGTTATAAGGAGTACGGTCTAGCACTGCTCTATTTGAAAAGTGTCCTGAGATAACTTCTGCTATGTATAGGCGCTTGCCTACAGTCATGTTAAAACTTAAAGCTTAATGACTTTGTTATAAAACGTACTATCTATCTATCAATCCATTCATCCCTTATCCATCCATCCATCCATCCATCCATCCCTCCATTGATGAAGGGCAGATCAAGGCCATTAGTGGTCAGGAATATTATCTTGTAAACATTTTGCATATTACTCAAATGGCTAGAGGTATAATGTTTTAATGAACCACCAGTGATGCTGTAGGACTGACTGGAAATGATTCAATTTAAACAACATTTTGATAACAAAGACATAATACCCATCAGTTTGTTTCAGGTATATTATAAAGGACATGCTGTTTAGAAGTATACAGTTCATATCAATGCTTCAGTCATTGCACCATACCAGTTCATTCATATTTAACCTTTACTCATGCATAGTGTCATTACATTTCTCAGTTACTTACCTGGCAGTTGTAAGAAATCCATTCCGAGACAAATTAGTGTCAGCTCTTCAAAAGATTTCCCAGAGCAATTCAGTCCCCACAAAAAGATATTTCTTTAAATTGTCTTTTGCTATGCGCAGAAACCTGTCTGCCTGATTTGCCTAGAACTCTGTGGCAGTAATCTCTCTGACCTGAGACACACAGACAGTGTGGTGTCAGGCTGCTGCATTTAAAGAGACTCAGGTAAAGAGAGGTGTGGTCTGCAGCCAGCAGCTGTTTGGCTGTCACTCAAAAGCAGAAAACAATGAGCCTGTTTTTCTCCAATGGGATAGATCCACACATATGAGAAACCTTTTCTTTCTTCCCTGTTGCAGGGATCTCAAACTGCAGATCCAGGGGCCATTTGTAGCCCTCCATCTGGAGGAACCTCGGTATAATATAATTTGGCCCACAAAATTATTAACTCTTGTTAATAAATTAAAGCAGCATTAGGTAACTTTAATACAAAAACTTTTTTTTGCATATTTACTTAAACTTTCATTATATCCTGACAGTAGTACATCAATCCACCAGGCTGGGTTTGAGGCTTTGAGATGGCTATTGAGTCTCATTCTCATTCCCAGGGTCCCAAATGTGTCTTTTACACCCTTGTAATGAGACTCAGCAAGACTGTCTCTTGGCTCTGATTGGTTGTTTTCAATATATATATATTTATTGTTATTTTAGAGCTTTGGGCTCAGTAACATGTGGAACATCTAACGGGAACTGTAAGATGCCATTACATAAATCCTCATTTGGACAGAGCCTTTTCAGTTCAAGGGATCAAAATGTAGAATTCCTTACCTACAGAACTAGATTATACCTAAAATGAAACAGTTTTTGAAGATGGATCAGTCATGTAGCCATGAATGATCTGGTCCTCCCTGTTATTAGTTTGTGTCCTGTATTGTTCCGCTGAGTTCTGTTTTTAATATACATACAACATATGTATGAATTTGTGTATTTGTTGAGTTTTTATCTAGGGATGGGCATTAAATGTCTATAAATGCTGTGGTGTGTGGAATTTATTTATACTACATACTTGATACAGTCAGAGCTGTAGAGAAAATCTTTGGTGCCACCGTGCCCTCCATTCAGGACTTATTCGTGTAACATAAAACATCACACAAGAAAATGGCCATCACTTATATAGTGGGGATGTTGGAAGTATGGGTTGCGTTAAAATGGATAGAAATGGGAGAGTGGATGAATTGATAAAGAGGGCATTAAACAAAGGAAAAAAAGAAATGCAAATTACTATTTGTCACAGTCTGCCTTCCTCCTCACCTGTTCAACTCAGCCATCTCAGTAATTTTCCACTAACCTGCCCCTGCTCCACTCTGGCAGTCTGTCAGCAGAGTGGAGCAGGGGCAGCCTTCTGTCCCCGACCACGAGCTTGGTTTCACCATTTCTGGTTTTGCTGTCTGCCTCTCTCCTGGGCTGTTTGGTTTCCCCACGACGATTACACAGCGTGAGTTCGACCATCTCCTCTCCTGTGAGTTTCCGTGGTTCAGAGACTCTGATCGTATTGCCACACATACCATCAAGTGCACACACTCACCAGCACTAGACTTTCAAACCAGGGCTTGTCAAAGTGGAATGCTTCCTCCCAGTGCGATACCTTCATGCTGGGTCTGGGTGACAACATCAAGGATGAGTTGGTGTGTCACAACCTTTCTTCGTCATTCTATGGACTCATCAAGCTCATGACATGACTGGGCCGATGCATCCAGGCGAGACATTTGGAGAGGCGACAGCGGCAGGCTGATCAACGTCCACCTTCCCGGTCCCACTTCCTTCCCGAGTCTGGATTTCCCTCGACGAGTCCGCAGTCGGGACAACCAGAACCCATGCAGGTGGGCTGGACCAGCTTCACACCGGAGGAATGGGAATGTCGCCGTCAGGGGAACTTCTGCCTCTACTTTGGCCAGGCCAGCCAATTTGTCTCCCGGTGCCCGGCAAAAGGTCAGACTCACCAGTAGAAAGGGGAATACTGCTGCTGCCCGAGGGTTCCATCACCCTCGCCATGTTCACAGACTGGATAGTAAGGCGGCTGTGCATCGGTGTTTGAATGTGTATGAAAGAGTTAGTTTCCGTTCAATGGACTTTGCCATCACTGAATCATCTTGGGCTACCGCTGGCTCCCCACCGCCACAATACCAACATAGACTGGGTGATGGGGTCCATCTTGGGTTGGAGTCCCTCCTGCCTCCAAGTGTGCCTCAAACAGGCGTCCGTTCCCCAGACGACCATCTGCTTCAGTCCAGCCCCTGATCTGACAGAGGTCCCGGCCGAGTACCATGACTTTAGGGAGGTCTTCCAGTAACCTGGCCTGCTCTTGACTCCCGCAAGCAGCTCCAACGATTTCTCGGGCTTGCCGACTTCTATCTGAGGTTTATCCGGGGCTACAGCACTGATGCCGCATCTCTCACATCTCTCACAGCTCTAACCTCCTCCAAGGTTCCCTTCCGTTGGTCCTCTGCTGCAGAAGTGGCCTCCCAGTCCCTCAAGACCCGGTGTACGTCAGCCCCCATCCTCCAAATGCACGACCCGGAGAGACAATTCGTGGTGGAGGTGGATGCCCCCGACGTAGGGGTAGGAGCTGTTCTCTCCCAAAGAGCGGCGGAAGATCAAAAGCTTCACCACTGTGCCTTTTTCTCCCACCATCTGTACCTGGCCAAGGAACTATGACATTGGCAACAACAGAGAACTCTTGGCCATTAAGCTGGCCCTGGAGGAATGGCGCCACTGGCTAGAGGGTACCAAGCAACCGTTCCTGGTTTGGACAGACCACAAGAAACTTGAGTACATCTAATCAGCAAAAAGGTTGAACTCCTGACAAGCTTGCTGGTCCCTGTTCTTTACCCGGTTCAATCTCTCTCCTACTGGCCCGGTTCTCGCAAACGTCAAACCCGATGCCCTGTCCCGTCAGTTTGTGGAGAGGGAAGATTCTGTCCCCAATTCCAACACCATGCTTCCGTCTTCATGGAGCACCCCTCACCTGGGAAGTAGAGGACAGAGTTAAGGCGGCTTTGGAGAAACAGCCTGGACCTAGCTTATGCCCTCCTGACCGCCTGTTCATCCCCTCTACCCTCCGGTCCAACGTCCTGCAGTGGGCTCACAGCTCCCGACTCACCTGTCACTCAGGGAACCAGAGGTGGTTCAGCAAAAAGGGAATTCTGTGCGTTGATTGGGGCCACCATCAGCCTGTCCTCCGGGTTCCATCGTCAGTCCAATGGTCAGACCTAGAGGAAGAACCAGGAGATGGAGACTGCACTACGATGCATGGTATCTAAGCACCCATTGTCCTGGACTCAGCAACTCCTGTGGGTCGTGTACGCCCACAACACCCTGACCAGCTCCACCATGGGACTCTCCCCCTTCTGGTGTGCATATGGGTTCCAGCCCTCTCTGTCTCCCGCCCTTGAAAAAGAGGTTTCCTGCCCGTCAGTCCAGACCTTCATCCGTTGCTGTCGCAGGACCTGAATGCAAGCCAGAGCCTCCCTCCTACGCTCCACTGACCGTTACTCGGCCACTGCCAACGCTCCAAGGCCCCAACCTACCAGGTGGGCCAGAAAGTATGGCTGTCCACCCGGGACCTCCATCTACAGGTGGAAACCAAGAAACTGGCACCCAGGTTCATCTGCCACGGCAATTTGCAGGCAACACGGAAAACTGCTGTGAATTGTCAGAAATTGACGTGGGCCTTGCTTGGCTGTTGTCCCCCCCATGACCCCCCTCCCCCTAATTCTAGGGGAGGCTTTAACATGTATTTGAAAATGCTGTGAGCTATGCAAATCAGGGTAGCAGGGGGAGTTTTACCCCAGGTGACATTTTTCTAAAAGGTAAGAAAATCTCTGGTATAAATAGATCAGGCTCAGTATAGCCTAATTATAGACTCTATTTTTGCTTGAATTGATTTATTTAATGAAAGTATGCTAGATTAATTACTGTGTATGTCATTTGCAATGGCAAATGTTAAGTAAAAAAGATACACAAAACAATTTATTTCAACAATTAGTTTTAATCAGGCTTTGCCACAAAGGTAAAATGTGCATTCCGTGCAAACAACATCAGAATCAGAATCAGTATCAGCTTTATTGGCCAGGTTTGTGTAAACAGACAAGGAATTTGACTCCGGTTAACACTCACTTAGAATCAATAAAAAACATAAAAAAATAAAAACAGAACAGTAAGAATAGATTGAAGCGCAGTAGAGTATGGCTATGTATAAGTATAAATACAGTATGCACATTTGCAAATAAATAGAACACTATGAGTGGGATAGGGTAGTGCAATTGGGGGGGGGGATGTCCCAGCTAGTCCGTAGACCGGCGAGAAGAAACTGCTGAATGAACAATTCAAAGAAATACATCATTTGTTTTTTTGGTGTGTATTTTTAGCAAAAAAAAATAATTTTAGCATTGATGTGTTTTTGTTTGTTTAAGATAAAGAAACTGAGCAACAAATTGCAAAAAAATACCAGATGTAGCAAAAATTATATGCTGGTTCCACTGGTGGATTTGTCATTGCTGTGTGAAAACTTAATTTCAACAGATGTATGATGTTGTGTTATATGGAAAAAATTTATTTTGTATGTTTGAATTTTAAAAGGAAACTCAGAGTTTTAATAGGTTAAAAATGTTAGGTTTTATATGTTTTTGTTCAAGGAAAAACAAATTGCACAAAAAGACCTGATATATCAAATATGATACAAATTAGAATTAATATATGCAAATTGATATTTAATTATTTATTTTTTGTCAGCATTTTCAATAAACACACAAGTTAAAAAAAAATTCTGGTAATTATTTCATGGTTCAGGCTTTACAGGGTAAATAAAACACTGAAAATAGAAGGGAAACATCAGACAGGGTTGTGTAAGGGATGTCAGGAAGAGGAATCAGTGGAACATGTAGGCCTACCTCTGACTTGTAGGAGGTATGAGGGGGAAAAATAAGGGAATTAGGGGTGCAGGAATTCACATTAAAATGATTACTGAGCAGGGTGAGAGAGCACTGGTTATAGGCTAGTGGGAAGTCACCCAAAATTTGGAGATACCCCTACCGGAGGTAGAACAAAACACAACAATGTTTTTTATATTCTCCAAGGTCTCCCATATATGAAATAGATTCTTGTATAAAAATATTT